AAACTGAAACCGAACTTCGCTGAATGTAAAAATCCGCAAGCTATCTGTATGTGTTACTGTGATGAAAAATTTTTTGCCATTGTCCCATCTTGAAATGGGCTAATTCTCAGAATGGGCCGTAACAGTAATAAATAATATACTCTATATTTAACACAGACTTTAAAATTGCTTCACTGCATCCAAGCCGTTTATTCCAATAGCATTCGACTGGAAAAATTCTATTGTTAAGTTGTCTTAGCACACGAGATGATTTAGATCTATTAATTAAAGATGGTAACAGTTTTCTGTTCCAGTTGAGTTTACGAATTGGTTCTTAATCCCGATATAGGGCTGTTTGTCACAATTAAATGGATATTATACTGTATAGGGCGTCCGAAAATTCGACTTTTTTTAAGAATGTTAAAAAAATTGTTACTTTTCAAATGCCTAAAACTCAAAAAAATTTTAGTTGATTAAAATTTTTAAACCGTAACTTTTATTCTTTTTTCTACAATCTCTAATATAAAAGCCTTAAGATTTTGAAGTCGGTGAGTTATACGTTTGAGTCATTTATTATACTACAGCCTGTCGCAACATAGTGGATTTATTATTATGCCACTTATATATGAACTTTACTATATTAAAAATTTTCGATATAGTGAAGTTTCGATATAGTAAAGAAAAATCTCCGTCTCGTCGACTTTACTATATCGAGGTTTGACGTAGTGACACAAATTATATACAACATCCCATATTTACCGAATTTGCAGTAAAATGCTTTAGCAGATTTCCCACATCAGCAAATCCAAAAACCATGTGATAATTTTGAGAAGTGTCTACCCACATTTAAAGCGAGATAAGTCGTCATTCTATAAAGGTTTAAGATTACATTCAACTCGATTTGATATATTGCACCTTTACACAATCCTAAAAATGGTATAATATTCGGATAATTATCCATTTTCTTATGAGTTTTCAACTAATATACACAAAATTAGTTTATTCTCCGATTCATATAGTAACAGTAATAACATAATAACACAAACCTCCTTGACAAACTTCTTGCTCATTGTTATATGTGTTTAGAGAAAACATCTTCATTGCGACGGTTATGTCAGTGTACTCCAACTGTTCCGTGTACACGACTCTGAATCCTCCGTGGCCGACAATCGTGCGGTTTAAGATTTCACTGTCTAAATAGCGCTTGACTATTCCGTCTTTATATATTTTATCTTGTCATTTCTTATCTATGTTTGAAACATTTGTATCTTGGGATGATTCAAAATTAACCACCACACGATCGATGCATACAATATGTTTGGAAATGGGTTTTAGACGTGGGCAAATTATTGGTTTACAATAGCTTGAAGGACCCACGAAGCTATTGCTCGTATTGTAAATGTTCAAAAGCGCTGTCACGTTTGTAAAAATACTTTTCCTAAGGGTAAAAAATCTGTCAAACGTAAAGAATGTAACGTCACATGCTCGCTCCCGTGTCATATTTTGCATTGTTATACTTTACAGCATCTATCCAATATTTTAAATGGTAATGTTTCCGTATTAGTATTAGTATTTGATCAATGCACCTGCCATATGGCTATTATAGTAATACAATAGCTATAAAAGCTACGCAGTATTCTATCAATGCCATTCAAATGGTAGTCTGGTGCCAATACTTTAAATCCTTATTATCACAAAAATTACATTGTTTTTCAGAAAATGTTATCAAAGCCACCTCAGTAATACGTGTATAACTTTTTGTGTTAATTTCAAGAGTTACAAAACTTATAACACACCCCTCTTTATTGATCCACTATGCTTCTTCCACACAGGTATCATAGAATTGCTAATACTAAATGTCAAGGCCTGTCATGCTAGTCTACCGATATTTGAGTGCGATTGTCAGCGAATAATGTCTTACCTTTTACTCTTGAACACAGAACACTCACCTGGAGGAACCATAAACCTGCCTGATACATGTCTCACAAGATAGACAGGGCGTATCACGGTTTCAAAGGGTTTAGTCAGAGGTCGGGCAAACGTGCAAAGATAACATGTGTCGCTTGGTATATTGATATGATATGTCTTATGATATAAATGAAGAGCATGAATAGTTATTTACTTTTGACCACATCAGAATTTGAAGGTGGAATGTACAAGTTTTTTGAGATATCAAGGAAAAGTGCATGGAATGATAAATATGACACTGTCAGGATTAAGGCTAAACATGATGTATTCCTCCATGATTTCCACATCTCCGGTCTCAGCACGTGGAATATGTCTTCAAAATCATAGCATCTGTTTTTTGCTGACATTTTTAGTGACCTTTAAACACTAGGCTTTCACACTTACGACTGCACTATGTTGATGAACGACACTAATCCTAGATAAATTAATTGTCCTGAGTCGCTCACGATTCCTATCGTGGGATTAGTTCGATAGTCTATCGGCGGGGTACACTGGTATTTCAATTAGAATAAACGCGTTTCACTAAAACAAGGGATTGGTGATTGCAATAACTATATCGAAAAATTCAGGGAATAAGATCTCGATTGTATAGAGTAAAATACGATACTCGTTTATTTAACAAGGATAATAAATATTTATTACTATGAAACTTGCGAATGGGAGCGAACACATCGACACTAGCTGAAACTCGGCGCTGCTTTTATATCATTAGCTAATACACGTATATTTTTAGCGCGCTTACTAATTACTCTCTATTTTCAGTATACGATTGTTCTGCTTTCATAGCGGCTATTGTTTCCGTGTTACTATAATGTATTTGGTGCCACCGTCCATAGTTCCTGTCTTTTGTTCAACTCGAGCTGCGATTTTCAGTTCGTTACACTCGATCCCCAGAAATTTTACAAGGATGTTAATAGGAAGGTCTTGAAGAGGAGTTATTCAATGGAGGCTCTATTGGCTTGGTGATTGCTGATGTGTGCAAAATACCTTTTGTGACAAACTCTAGCAGGTATAATTTGTGGAAAAAAAGATCAAGGCAAGTTATTGAAATCATTGACAAGAAGAATGCATCTTAAGATTTTTCAAAAAAAGCACTGGCATTCCTAAATGTGCTCAAGGCCAGTGCCAAGAGGGTGATGTAGAGAAAGTGGCTTAATCATAGGTATATCAAAATTTTTGTTACAAATTAGTGGGGGCGACATTATAATTCAAGTGGTCTGTCATATACTGTATGTAACAGAATAATAAATGTGTTCTTTTATAGCTTGCTGATTTAGTGCATCTCCGTGCCAGTGACTTTCAAACACCGTATTTCCTCCGATGATTTATGGTGCCAAGGCACCACCTGACTTATTATTATACACCAAACGTAACCGCGAGAACGTCCTTTAGCTCATCCATATTTAACAGAATGCTATGATTATATTAGGAAAAAGTCAAAAATTGTGACATTGTACTAAATGACACTCATAAGACTATTCTGGTTCAGCGCGAACAAGAACCATGCTGTGTGTCTACTAAACCGTGAACCATTAATGTCGGGAGAACTTGCATGTTATCAAAAAACTAATCTCAAATTCAATGTTTGTGTGAATAACTATCTTTTCTCGCTGGATAGGTGCCAGTCATTTGATAATGGATTTCATTCTTATTGTCAGAATAGCTGACACACTATTAACTGTAATCGTGAAGAAAATCTAATGGGAAGAAAATGTTGTTTCTATTTTGAAGTTGCTACTTTTCGAATACGATTGATAAACCAACAACATCCAGGTACTGTCCTCGTGTTCTCCCATCAATTAGCTTCAAATGTTCCCATTAAACATGCATTCCCATGTGTCTTCGTGCTACGATATTTCTTTGGATTACTGCAACCTGCCGAGCAAGGATGATGGAAACCATATATTGGAATAACACTTCCCTTTTCATGCCCTTCTCATGCTAACAACTTAAAATCTCTGCCGTTCCCCATGCAACTATCCTCATACGTACAGTTGACAAGGAAAGAGTAAAAGAAAATTTAGTAACAGGTGGCGAATAGCTGAAAAAAGTAGGAAAGAATTAACACAGACGAGAGGTTAGCAAGCAAGGAAGCCGTTCGTATTACAAACCCACATATTCAAACTATACATAAATATTCACCTAGTTTCTTTGATACAGGGAATTGGCAACTTTTGCCGTTACTCTGAATTAATATATCAATATGATATCGGTAACAATGGCGGCAGCGGTAGTTTTCGCACGGTATTTGATTGTCCTTCTTGGCTATCAGTATCATCCTGGTCTTTACTATATCGCTTTGTCTTCTGCTACAATATATTGTGTCCTAAATAGACAATTAGATTATAAATGACAGAATAATCACCGTGCGGGCAAAGAAACTATAACGCTACTTAACCAACCTTATCTTGTTCTGCTCGTTGTACACTCTGGTCTTCTCCGTGCTATTTCAGATTTGCGCAATGCAATCTCCTCTTCTGTCAGGTGCTTTTTTTTTCGTGCTGATTCTGCTTATAAAATCAAATGGTTAGCTTTACTATAGATGGATAAGGAAGGAGTGAAAACGATAACACGAAAATTATTCTCACCCATCGGTAGTTGAAGCAAGTCAGGTTGATAATTCTCGTTCAATTTGGTCCTTTGTCATTATTCGATTGCTGGCGAAAGGTGTCTATGAAGAGGAGTCACCAGGACTGTACTTATCATCATTGTATAAAGTTAGATCAAAAGTTATTCAAGGAAAACACATTCTACTGCCAATTACCAACCTCAGAAAGTAGTTTCTGTAAGAACGTTTATTGAAAAAATTCATAAACAGACCATAGATGGCATACGCCTGGAATTTATTGTTGTTATTAAATATGGAGCGATAACTTGTAATCTCCATAATCATCATTATACTGGTAAATATGTCCAGTATCATGAAGCATGACATGAATATAAGCAGAGACGCGACAAATGCGCACGACGATGATATTAGGCAACTAGCCATTCAACCCCTCTATCGAATAAAAGTAAAATTGTCAGTGAGCAAGAGTAATGTATCAATTAAATGGTAAATTCGATATTAGTTTTATGACGTACCCCAACGCGTGATACGAAAGCGAGCGTTATATACAGGTTTTGTATTCAATTATACCTGATCTTTGATAGCATACTTCTTCTAGCTTCATCAACCCGTTGCCGATTCTTCTGTTGTATCAGCTGATTCACCTTAGACTTTGATTCTCTAGACGTTCTATTCCGAGATTCTGCCCCCGTTCATGTTCTCATAGATAGTCCATCTCATACGTGGGATCTTGTTCTTCCTCGGTGGAACTCCTGGTTCACTGGCTGGTAATATAGTAATAGGGCCAAATATGTGCAACGTCGATTGGTGACGGAGTCGTTGTGATCGCGTTCGTTTAGTCGCCATATTAATATTGACATTTGAAGATATTTTACAAGTTACTAAATTTGGAGGGTGGCTAAAGCGGAGTAGAACGTGACCTGATTCTTGCAATTACATGTATATAAACCAATGAAATTGTAAAAAAACTACTCCGCTTTAGCCTACCCCTAAATTTGGTAAGGGAGATGGAAAAAGTTGAGCGTTACACACGGATCGGTGTTGAAGTTGAGAATGCTCTCCGTGAGTGAAAACTTATTCAAACAATGTCATTAGTCCCAGGGGTTAAGAATCCAGCAATTGACAACTTGGTTCAATCCTCCTTGGAGAGTGAAAATAAATACTTAAGACTTGAATGGATTCCTTACGAGGAAATCACCAACATAAAGCCAACTCACATTGACAATGTTCATTACGCTATTTACAAGCGAACGCTGGATAAAGGTGACGTCGAGGAAACAATGATAATGCTTTCACTACTTGGGAATGATGAGATATGTACGCCAATATTTGTGAGTGAGTTTGCAAGAATATACTCACTTCTAACACGCAAGTACAACATAGACGGTAATCAGTTTAGACGATATTCCACCTGGCTTGAGTATCGCGACAGACTCATAAAGGGTTTTACCAAGTATGAAGACAACTATTACATGGTTGCTGATAGACAGTTTTACCATTGTTATTCTCGATATGGATTCTGCTCCGCATGTGGAATACTCCGATGTAGTCCCATGTGGTGCATTTGCGGTCATAAAGAATTATCCGATGGATGGACTAGCAACAATAAGCAACTCGATGAGTTTATTAAGAAATCTCAATTACAAACGAACTCAGCAAATGATGCCTACTTGGAATGGATTCCATTCAATTGCATTAATAGGAGATATGAATTGATATACTTGTATGGTCTACCTATTTGTCAACGTGTTAAATTGATTTCGCTTGAAATAACCGATAAGACGGATGATTCGTATTACGACAAGGTAAACCATTTACTTATGCGTTATTTTTATTGAATAGTTTAAATAATTATTGACTTTCATGTTCATTTCTACTAGTTATGTGATGAGCATCCAGATATTCTTACCGCGGATGTTTGGGTTACCATCGGATTCACATATGATTGGAGTATACAAAAGTATTGTCTCATGAAAGAATATTCCGGGTATGGATTATGTTTGGCGTGTTTAAGGCAATTAAATCCCAAGATAAATGCATTCTGTTATGAATGTAAAACACCACAACCTTTTGGTTGGACTACGGGCAACACGTCACTGGATTCATTTATTATGGAGTCATGGAGTAATGTGAAGACTAAGTATGATGCATATATACAATGGATTGAATACTCTATACTGACAAATGTACGAGAAATGACATCATTGCGCCATGGATGCACACATGTAGCAGATTGGTTAGAGCAGACAGCAACGAGAGTGATACTCAAACGGATAGTTGATGAACAAACCGATCAGTTATTCGATTTTCATCAGGTAAATTATCTTGTGCATAAACTATGCAAATGGTATTATTAACGCGTGTGTCGCGCATTTAAATTGACCAGTATTGTCATTGAAACGACTGTATTTGTTTACTCAAATAGTTGATTCAGGAATACCCAAAGATATTAACACCTGAGAATATTTGGATAATTGGGATTACTCGGGAGCCATCTACTTGGGAATATTATTTGGTGCTCTACCATGACATACATGTAATATTGGACAGATTTATACGAATTAATGAACGTGTAAGATATATGCAGTATGGCGACTTTTATGAACTCAAAGAGATTGGATCTGGTGGTTATAGAACAGTTTATACTGCCAAATATAGGAAGTATTCAGAAGTAGGGTATATGCAAGAAACTGTTGTACTCAAACAGTTTAAGAGTTTTGATGAAACGTCAGAATTATTTATTTCTGAGGTAAGAGATAATTGATATCATTAATTAAAGTGATATTTAATCTGATTCTGTATTTATTTTTATTCAATAGTTCAGAAATCATGCCAAGTGTGTAAGCAACAGTGATTATTTCCTTCTCCTTTATGGAGTCACACAAAACCCAGAAACAAAAGAGTATATGATTGTTATGCAATATGCTAACAATGGTAATCTTTTGTCTTATTTGGATCAAAATATTAACAAATTGACGTGGAAGATGAAATTAGGGTATTTGATGGATATTGCATATTATCTGTCTAGTATTCATGATGCAGGAATTGTGCATTGTGATCTTCATGGTGGAAACATAGTTATGCATCATGACAATCATAATAGACCATTAATATGCGATCTTGGTCTCTCACAATCAGTGAATTCACATCAGTCAAATTCAACCATTCGAGGTGCTTTACCCTATATTGCACCAGAAGTCTTCCATACTCACAAATTTACTCAAGAATCAGATGTGTATTCTTTTGGTATTATTATGCATGTGATGGCCACTGGTGAACCACCATTTAGAGATAGGCAGTTTGATACAAGTTTAATATGCGAGATTATGGATGGACTACGACCATTGATGCCTGATTCTGCACCAGAGGAATACAAGAAACTTGCTAAGCAATGTTGTAATGCTGATCCTGATAAGCGTCCAGATGCAGAAACACTTTGGGGTGATCTTAGTTATGAGATTTATAATTATAATGACAACACGTGGAATGCCGTTTATTATAATGATGTAAAACTGTTATAATGTTTCGAGAAGAAGAGTAAATATTCTAGCACACTTTTACTTACTGGAGATCTGCCCAAACTGAGAAATAGTTATGGATTGCAGGTATGAAGACAACAATTGGTTATAAATGAAGTCAAATAAGCTTGTAATTCACGGGTTATTTACAGTTTACAGTCATCTCCCCTGTAAGCACACTCCTAGATTAATATAGTTACAACCTCCTTATAGTCATACTTTTCTTGGAACCAACTGATTTCATAGTAAATTTACCCTATATATGCACATTCTGCTTATAGTCACTATCACACTGTCCATGAGATTCAGTTATAGTAAAATTCCCCCCCTTTAGTCACATTAGCAAAAAACCCAATCACATGCTTTATGCAGTTTGATAGGATAAACGTGATAACTATGCAGTAACAAGCACAATTACTCATTGTCAACTGATAAATTCTAAACATGTATTGTACTTTGAAATGCAACATTGTATTGATAGTATTTAACAGGCACGTCATTTTAAAGAAAAAAAAATAAAAGAAAAAATGTCGAAGAAAGCAGGAAAGCGAACGTCTATCAGTGACTCGCTTAAACGTAAAATTTGTGCTTTTCAAACAGATAACATGCTACGTAATCAAACTGAAATTACAGCTCATTTCAATGCTAAGTATGGTCTCAACCTGACCGAACAACTATCAGCAAGATAATTAATAAGAAAGATAAGTGGCTTCACGTTGAAGGAGGGTCCAAAACTGCTTTTAAACATCGTCGAGTTAAATTTCCTTTATTAGAGGAAGCGATGAGCGTTTGGGTTGACCAAATGACTTCTAAAGGAGCAATTCTTACGGAAGCTTTAGTATAGTATCTATGGTTAAGACTGATGCTATGGTAGAATCTGAGACTGTACTCTCAGATACTGATTATCATGAAGGGAATGAAGTTGTAGTAAAACCGATGTCTAATATAGAAGCGCCGACTCACCTGAAAGGCCTTATTTTGTTCCAAGAGCAATCTCCCGATGAAGTATTTACTTCAGATGAGCTGAATGTTCTGCGTCGCAAGATATCAACTTTTGAATATTTGACAGAAGCAATCATCGCTAGATTGTTATTTGGAGAAACAATCAGTGTATTCGTGAATATAACGAGCTTGTAACCCGTCGCTTCGCTGACGGTCTAACTGCGTAACTGTCAATGAATTAAAATTAAACATATTAATATGCGTAATTTATATTTTCGTAAAGTTATACAGAGCATAGCTATGACAAAATAAATTATTAAACATTATAATAATCATTCAACGTAAAACTTAAATTTATTATTCGGTTAAATATCAAGTCTTAATGACGAAGTCGCAAATTCTAATTTTAAATAGAATTGCTTAATTTCGCTCTGAGATATTCATCCTAATGTTTCTAAACGCAGTCTACATCTATTGTAACACTTCCGGATATACGATGTTCCGCATCCCGCTGCCTCTTATTAGAATCTTGAGGTTTCTGTCTAGCCGTAGTCCTAGAGCAAGCAACGTAAAGTTGGCCATGAGAAAATACTGGAGTCGGCAAATAAACTCCCACGTAATTCAAAGTTTGACCTTGTGCCTTATTGATGGTCATAGCAAAAGCAGGTTGTATGGGAAACTGACGGCGTTTGGACGGTGTAAGAGAAATTCGAGGAAGAAAGGCACGTGAACCAGAAAATTTTCCTGTGATCACTTGAACTTCTATAACATGTGGCGCAATGCGCAACAAATCAAACGTGTTCCGTTGCAAAGACCTTCTGAAGGATTGATATTCCGAAGAAGTATAACAGGTGCGGAGGCAAACCGCTCATACTTTTTTGTCGAAATTCTCGTGATTGTGCATCATTCTTTGTGAGATAAGCCTTTAACAATGCCGGTGGCTCTTGAAGGTGCGGAAGTATAACATTCCCTTGTGCACAACATGTACTAAACATAGGCGAATGCTTAGATGAATCTCCACAACTTTCATCCACCCATTTTAATGCGCCACAAAAAGGACATGAACGGTCCATTCTTCCGAGATTATGGCGTTGTAGTCCATTAGAGTTAAAAGGATACAGTCTTGTTTTTGGAATTGAAACAGTATTTATATGAACATTGACATTTATCAAAAGGTCAGTATTTTCAGAAGAATGGGAAACTGCAATATTTTCCTGTAATACATGAGGTGGCTTGTCGGTTGTAGTAGTCATATTGCGTACGGATATTCGCGCTTTTGATTCTCTATACTGTCTCTTTCGTTTTTCTATT